ATAGATTTCTGCTCGTGAAGTCTTGTACGTAAGCCTGTAATGCTGAAAAAGGCTAGTCCTCCCGTACGGGAGATTACATAGTGAGCTTGGTAGAACTCCGTAGGGTAAGCCAGATGATCCGCCGATAGTTTCGTACGGATCTGCATCTTCCACTGCGTGTATTCTTCGTGTGAGCCTTTCTCGAAGATTCTAACATCAGGGAGTCTAGCTTTTCCAAACTCTTGTACGGGCGTAGGCGTAGCCAGAGGCTGGCTAGGAGGTTGCTGACTTTCCATACTCGGCGTGAGATTAGGAGTCTGTGCGTTAGGGGTAGCTTGCCCCTGTGCCGTACGGAGGAAAAGGGCTTTCATCTCTTGGAGTTCTTCTCGTACGCCTTCAGCGTCCTTAAGTCTTGTAGCCATTTGGTCTAGGTTTCGTCGGAGTAGATTATTCGTTGCATTAAGTTGGCTCCAGCTTTCTGCGAGCTCCTCGTACGTCGGAGGCCTTGGCGGGGCGTTACTAGGTTCTGGGTTTGGCATAGGCTCATGTAGCCCCATCGTTATATCTTGTTCGTTTTGCATTCTCAATTCTCTCTCGCTCCGTACGAGAGAAAAGAGTAAGAAGGGTTAAAGTGATCTTTTAGCTTATGTTATGGGCGGAGAGGCCTAGCGAATGAGTATGCTTCTACCTATCGTACAGAAGCTAAAAGATAAGAAAAAGAGAAGATAACTAAGTACAGACTTCTCTTATACCTGCTCGCTTCTGATCACGTGTCCGTACAGAAGGTATATCACGTGGTCGAAGATCACGTGATCCTCTTCAGTAGAGATCACGGGCGCAGCCCTTTACAAATTTCATGTGTAAAGTCTAGAACCTCTTCAGTACTAGTAGACTTAGTTAATATGTCTACTAGTATTACTTTAGTATTTCTATATACTATATTAATATTATTTAATTCTAGATTATACCCAACAAAGTAACAGGTTATATCTACGCGCTGAGTTCTAGCCTAATATATAAGATTTGTCGTTCATTCTATAGCACTTTAGCTACCAGTTTTAATAATACTAGTAGCAATAACTATATTACCAACTTCTCAGATAGGATTCAAGCTAAATATTTCTTTCGGAAAGTTTTTTAGATATGAACTTTTTATAGTCGCTCTTTTTAAAGCAATATATTCCACTTCCACGCTAGAAATAGCTATTACTTTTTATAATTCTAGAAGTGTAGCCAATAGCTATACTCTTATCATTAAAATCACTTAAATGATTTTATAAGACAAATATATTTCTACTAGTGAGTTTTTATTATCTAGATCACCCCTTTAGTCATAATTACTAATTCTAATAAATCAACAGTAACTAATATAATATAATATATGATAATATGATATAATACTATTAATAATAGAGTTATATCGTCTTGTCAGAAGTAAGGCGTTAGCTGAGGCCCATGCATAAGGCCAAGAAAACAAAAGAAAAGAAAGAAGCCACAAAAAGCGACACCTTAAGAGATAGAAATGAATAAACACCTTTTCATGACCCCATGATTGAAGACCCATCAAATCTGACAGGAGCATATAAAGCCACGTCTAAAGCAGCACTCGATATTAAAGCACATCTTCTATTAATTAAGCAGCAGATATAGAAGCATAACGCCAACGTTATTACTCAGCTTCTTTTAAATAAGTATATAATTAGCGTACATTTTAAACCTTTAGGTAAGTAGATCACAATCTGCTAGCGTAAGTATGCGCCGCATAATCCAGTCTACCCCCAAATCTCAGATATACGCCCGGTACGCGTAGCTTACATTACTAACAAAGTATTCCAGTCTTATAACACTGGATTTAGCGCCCTGGGATAGGGCTGAATGTCATTAGGGCCCTGGGATAGGGTGGTTGAATTTCGGGCGATACGTTGGAAGGCAAAGTCATAATTATATGATTCAGCCAGTGACCCATCTTCTACATTAACCTCTTTCTTTGATAATACAGTGAAGTGTCTGCTTTGTGAACCACAATGTCTTCCACGTGTACCCATCTCCATGCTGGCTATCCGCCACAATCTGGAAGTCAAACTTCCGCACAATCTGCGGGATAACTTTGTACATCTCCAACAAGCTAATGTTCTTCCCGAGACATGTCCTTGATCCAGCACCGAAGGGAAGGAAGTTCCGTTCCATGACTGATCGCTTTTCGGCGTCCGCCACTAACCATCGCTCTGGCTTGAACTCAGAAGCATCTAGACCAAAGATCTCTTTGTTGTAATGTATAACCCATGGGTTGACGCCGACTTCAGTACCAGCAGGAAAGTAACGGCCAGCAAGATTCAAACCGCCTTTGCCGACAACACGGGCCAGGGGCGCACCAACCGCAGAGTGCATGCGAAGGGTTTCCTGAACTACTGCGTGAAGATACGGTAGCTTTTGGGACTCTTTGAAAGTGATTAGGTCGGATGCTGTGCCGTTGGTGATAGCATCGTTGAGTTCCTCCCTTAACTTGGCGAGTGCATCTGGATGCATAGAGAGATAGGCGATAGCGGCGGTAAGTGAAATGGCAGTCGTATCCGAGCCAGCTCCAATATTGCTTCCGCAAGCGTTTATCGTGTCGGCTCGAGTAGCTTTGCCAGCTTGTTCGAGCGGTAGCAGTTTGTCTAGGAAGTCCTCGCGATCTTTTGGAGATTCAGTCCGCCCCAACACACGATTGTTAACGTTCAAATATATGAAGTCTAGGACCTTCAGGAAGTCCGACTTCATATTCAGATACTTGACCGCCAGGCCTACGAACCGGTGTACCTCAGGGATAAGGCCCACTTTGGCGCCGTAGACGTTCCCTTTGTCGATGGCATCAATGATACCTGCCTTGTCGCCGTCGTCTTCCATCAATCCAAACCTCGCACCTAGGGTAATCTCTCCAATTACGTCGAATGCATAATACTGCATCATCTCTCGCACATTGAGAGATTTCCCGTTGCCGGAGTATTCCATCAATCTCTTGATCAGGATACGATTGCATTCGTCTACGAACGGCTCATACGAGAGAATATTGTTATTCGAATACAGCTGAGTGATCGGGCGCCTCATTTTGGCGTGGTGGTGGACATTCGTTTCTGTGAAAATGTTGGTCTCGAATGGACTGCCGAAAGGAAAGTAGTAGTTTGATTTAATGAGAGCATTTTGATGGCCTAAGACCACCCTGGAAGCTTCCGCGTCGTTGATGCTGTATCGGTTCGGCGCAAGCCTGACAACAGGTCCTGCACAAGTAAGTATCGCTCAAGGACGCGGGTAATGTACTTACCGTATTTCTTATGGAGGGCTATGTTGTAGGTTGCGAAATCTTCTTTGAGCACTACGCGTAACTCCCAGAGACGCGTGAATCGCGCGAGAAACGGTCCCGGTACGCTTCGAAGCGGTGTAATGTAGGTTCGAGCGATGCGACTAATAACTAGATAGGTGACAAGTAGGATTAGTGCGCTTAAGTAGAGCTGGCTGTTCAACATTTTAGGTTTGGGGAAGCTGTATCTAAGGATAGACAGAAAGAAGCATAAATTGCGCTCTCGGGAGCTCCGTGCAGGACGCGGTAACTAGTGAAAACTTATATACACGAGCTAGACCCGAGTCTCTTTCCGTTGCTTCTTGTCCGGTACGTCTCTTCCTAGCGCGGACCCGCGCGACTTCCCCACTTGTATTCGACTAACGTCTGTCACTGTGTGCCGAAAAACCCTGTGTGCCGAAAAAGACCAATCGGATCTCAAGGATCATGTACTTCTGTCTAGCCGTTGCGATCCGACTGGTCTTTTTCGGCACACAGGGTTTTTCGGCACACAGTGACGGACGTTAGCCGTGGTCCGGAGAAAGGCCGATACGAGTATAGGGCCGTTGGTTTGTAGCTTAGTATAGTGGCGGCATCGGCATCTTTAGGCAGCTCAAACGGCGACGGCCAAGGTTGCGTTGCAACAGTAAGGCTGAGCGTCTAGCAATAGAGCCTTCTAGAAAGCTACGGGCATGCGCCACAGCTATAACTAGCAGCTAACTACTACAGGTATAACGCTGAATTCGTTACAGCAGCGTATGGCGATATCTGAGCACGCTACTGTAGGCTATCTGCATGCCAAGTGCTACTAATAGCGTACGTCCTGTGGGATGCGTTTTTAACGATCTTGTCGTCTACGCGGAGTGAGTGAGTGAGTGAGTGAGTTGTATTTAACGTCTATATATAAAGCCTCCCTTGGGGCATGTAGACGGGCTATGCCTATGACTTGCCGTACTATGCCTAGGATGCCTATTCTTGTTTACATGATTGTAGTGGTCTAGTAGTGGTCGTTCCGCCTATTGATCGCCAATACAATGTGCCATAGGCGTGTATCCGCCTTTCGTTGTTGTAGCTGATGCTTACTAAGGAGTGTGTAGTATAGATGACATAGGAAAGAGAAGAAAAGAAAAAGAGAGAAGAGAGAAAGAAGAAAAGGAGATAGGAAAAGTCTTACAAGTATAGGCTCTAGTGAGGCCTACATACTGTACTATAGAAACCTGTGACTTCTAGGAAAGCGGCAAAGTCCTCGGGCTCTTCCCAGAGCTTCTGGAGGTACTTCGTCGCTTCGCTAGGTGTCCTAGGCGGTGCTGGTGGCCGTCTTGGCCATCGCCGGAAGACGTTTGCTGTTGTGGTTTTCCGGCATAGTGCGATGTGCAAGGGGGTCTTTGGGCGCCCGCAGGAGCACTTTAGAGTCGCGTTGTCATGGTGGAACTTCCGGTGGTACCATGCAAAGTCTCCATGGCTTGTTCGGATTGCCAGCAGTCTTGCTAGGTTTGGTCGTGTTAGCTCTAGCTCTTGGGGAGGTCGGGTGGGCTGGTACGGTAGCTTCCACTGGGTGTACCAGTTGGAAAGCTTGCTCTTGGCGCTATTCCACCAAGCTGCTCTAGCTGTGGCTAGTTGTGCCTTCCTGATCGTGCGTATACCCGATACTGTTGGTTGTGCTGCTAGTCCATATGGAGTAGAAGGTTCTTTCGCCTCCGCATCTGCGAGGTTGTCTGCTGCTTCGTTGCCTTCAATGTTAGTGTGTCCTGGTGCCCATCGGATCTTGACATTAGGTATTGTGTCCATTATCTCCTGGCATTGAAGAAACGCCCACTGAGAGGAGTTTGAGGCTGTTCCGCGTAGACACCAGATTACTGAAGTGCTGTCTATGCACATATAAACCGCATCTGTTGGTCTTGCTATCTGAGCCGCGTGCTGAAGTGCTCTAAATGCCCCAATCGCTTCGGCATCAAAAACATGTGAAAGCGAGTGGAGAGACCCGCGTCCTGTGGCTATCTTTTCCTGGGCCCGGTATATAGCATACCCATAGGTGACTCTCTTTTTCCCTTCACAGCGCTGTTCCGATCCATCAGAGAAGATTGTGATCGTGCTGCTATCTAGAGAGGCCCACCATTCTTTGAATTCTTTCGCAGCTGTTTTCTTCTCCATTCCCAGTGTCGGATCTGTGCGGCACCCTTGCGAGAAGTGCGGCGCTATTAGAGCTGGCCGGGGGATAGCTGGCAAAATTCGTGCGCGCGGAGTGAGTGAGTGAGTGAGTTGTATTTAACGTCTATATATAAAGCCTCCCTTGGGGCATGTAGACGGGCTATGCCTATGGCTTGCCGTACTATGCCTAGGATGCCTATTCTTATTTACATGATTGTAGTGGTCTAGTAGTGGTCGTTCCGCCTGTTGATCGCCACTGAAATGATTGTGCAGTAGGTGTGTATCCGCCTTTAGTTGTCGTAGCTGATGCTTACTAAGGAGTGTGTAGTATAGAGGACATAGGAAAGAGAAGAGAAGGAGAGAGAAGAGAGAGAAGAGAAAGAGAGAAGAGAAAGAAAGAAAATAGGAAGACAGGAAAAGTCTTACAAGTGTAGGCTCTAGTGAGGCCTATATATTGTGTTATAGAAACCTGTGATTTCTAGGAAGGCGGCAAAGTCCTCTGGCTCTTCCCAGAGCGTCTGGAGGTACTTGATTGCTTCGCTAGGTGTCCTAGGCGGTGCTGGTGGCCGTCTTGGCCA